ACCATGATGGCCAGGCTGGTCTTGAACTCCTGACCTCAGGTGATCCACCCACCTCGGCCTCCCAAAGTGCTAGGATTATAGGCATGAGCCTCAGTTATTGGCTATTTAAAATAAGCTGCTTTTGACATCATTGTATCTGACTCTTGGAATCCATTAGGACTCATTCCTGTAGGTTGGGATTTCTGGGTCCTGGGTAGATGTATGTTTAGCTGTAGTTGACACTGCCAGTATTCCAAAGTGGCTTTCCCACCAGCAATGCATGACAGTTCCAGTTACTCCATAAATCACCAACAATTGTCAGTAGTTTCCATGTCAGCCATTCTGGGGGGGGATACAATAGGATCTGAACACTAGGGGGTTAACTTTCTGCCGTCTAATGATGTTGAGCACCTTCTTGTGCTTACTGGCCATTTGGATATTCACTTTTGGGAAATGCTTGTTGAAATTTTGGCTCATTTTTTAATGAATTGTATTTCTGGATATATAGTTTTTGGAGAAGAGACCTTTGTTGATTTGTAATAAGTTCCCCCTACTGAGCCTTGGGTGAATACCTAACCCACAGACTCAACAACTATTTCTGGTATCACAGCTTAGGAACTGCTGAGCTATGAGAATCTTCCTCTGAAGCAGCTCACTCTCCAGTGAGATTTAAAATTACTTCAAGAACATACAATGCAGATGAAGATACGGGATTGCTGTCAGGGTGGAGGAAGCCTATGCTTAAAATGTTCCTCAAAGGATGGGAATCAGGAAAAAATCAACCTGCAGATCCCCATATAGGCTTTGGAATTATAGACCTTAGAATGACAAAAAGAAAAAGCTTACGTAAAAAAGCAAAGGATGCAGTCAGACTGGCATCCACCTACTCATCAGAAATGCTCAATTCTAGGAAAGAGGGAGTAAATCTATTAGAGGTCTGAAGGGTTTCATCATAGAATTCTATCCCCAGCTGATGTGGTTTCACTGTTTCCCCACCCAAATCTTACTTCAATTGTAATAATCCTCACATGTCAAGGGTGGGGCCACGTGGAGATAATTGAATTGTGAGAGCAGTTTCCTCCACACTGTTCACATGGCAGTGAATAAGTCTCACGAGATTTGATGGTTTTGTAAGTGGAAGTTCCCCTGCACAGGCCCTCCTGCCTGCTGCCATGTAAGAAGTGACTTTCCTGATTCACCTTCTGGCATGGTTATGAGGCTTCCCCAACCATGTGGAACTGTGAGTCTATTAAACCTCTTTCATTTATAAATTACCTGGTCTCCGGTATGTCTTTATTAGCAGCATGAGAACAGACTATAACACCAGCCAAAGTATTAGTAAGCATGTCAAGACACTTTCAGTTATGCAAGGACTGAAGACATTTCTCTCGCAGGTACCAGGAAAGTGAGGAAGTAAACCCAGAGAGAACGTCCTGATGACAGCTGTGCAGCAAGGCTGGAGGGTACCTGGAAGCCATCTGAGAAAACAGTAGAGACTGGGTCCTGAGCCCGAGCAGAAGTGAGGCAGTCATAAGAGTGGAGAAGGCAAAAGGGACCCTGGCTCTTTCTGATGGGGATTACACCCCCTTAAGATCCCTATTCAGTGAAACACAAGCTCTGCATAATTACGGAAAGCACTCAATAAGGCTGGATAAATGAATGTTAGGTTCAGGCCCAGAAATAGACACCCTTTCCATAGTGCCTCACTGAGGCTGTCAGACATGAGAGCAAGAATTGTTAAGTGCCTTACTATACCCAGCAGAATCCTTTCCAACCCAGCCACTGTCAGGGTCACCACCCAGTCCCTTGGAAGAAGCAGAGACAGACACTCTGGGTAGGTAGCCGGGAGCAAATAAGAGAAGACACACAGCAAATGTGGTTGAGGCTTAACTTGGATCAGGTAGGCCTAAGGCAGGGATCAGGTAGGCCCACCGCCTGGCCTTCAAGGCACTACTTGTTGCCCCAGACAGCCATCTTCGTGAACACAGGTCTTGGGAGGAAGCGGCTGGACTTCATGTAGGCAGAGATCTTC